GGTGGACACAAGCAGAGCAAAAAAGTCGCACATTTTGGAGCTGGCTTGGGTGGAAGGATGGGCTCAATACTAACCCAGGAAGGACCACCGTTCATGGCCTCTGCTGAAACCAAAGTCATCAATTTACAAGTAGTAGTTAGTTTTTTGCCTTAACCTAAACCCACTGCAGTTTCACAACAGTGCCTAAGCCTTATTTAAAAGTCTAACCAGACGTTACATATTTATTCTGCTGGGGCCGCAGAGCCCTGCATATCCACAATGCAAAGCTAGGGAGGCGACACCTGCAGTGTCATATTTTGAAGGACGCCACTGACCGGAGCTGCAGTATTTGGAGTATTTTAGAGTTGGGAGTGAGAACGTGTTGGACCTGCTCTGGCTCAGGTGACCCCACAGCACAGGTACCATGGTGATATACCCCAGTTAAACATGAGCAAATGAACCACAAATCTTGCTTTGGTGACACAGGCCGCCAGGAGTAAATGTAGTCATACAGTAAAAACAATCTTCCACAGAAGCTCACCTGGAACAGGTGATGACCAAGAAACCAAAGAACAATTTAACATCCTGCCATGGGGCTGTGATCAGAGAGCAGTTTCATTCTACTCTATCTCTCAGTTATTCATTCCCTAGGAGCCTCCCTGTCCCCCTAAACCTCTCGATCCCTTAACCTGTGGAGCCCCCCTGCCCCGCCCGACTGCTCTGTCCTCAGTCCTGGGAGCCTGCAGTCTGCTAGCGAGTCTCTAAGTCAGAAGTGATACATGTTTATAGAAAAACTGTGTCTGTGTGTGCCTGTCGTGTGTGTGTGTGGTGTGTGTGTTGCGGCCCCCGCTACTACTCATCGTGTCTAGGTGTGTGTGTGTGTGTGTGTGTGTGTGTGTGTGTATGAAGGGTGCTTGGGAGCTAATCTTAGGGAGATTGAGCATGTCAGGGCCGATAAGAAACAGCCACAGCAGGAGCTGTAGCTCCGATAATGTAAGATTATCAGAGGCAAGGAGCGAGCTGCGTGCTTGGAGAATTTAGAACAGAGCAGGTGGAGGGGCACGTCTCTCTCCGCAAGACTTATTTCATTTCCCTTTCCTTTTCTCTTTCCTCTCATGCATTCCTCTTTCTCACTCACACTGTTTATTCGTTCTCCCCCATGGCTGATGTGTAGAGTATCCCTCTCTCTCTCTCCCTGTTTCTCTTTAATACGTTGTTCTTCCCTCTTTCTATTTTTAAGCTCTCCTGATTTAAAGGAGCCCGGGCAGTGTGTGGAGTCGAGAGAGAGGGACAGAGAGTCGAGTGGGGGGGGGGTGGAGGAGTTTTATTTATTGTGGATAAGAGAGGCCATATATGGAGTGGATGGGCTGGGGACTGAGAGACACTCACACACATTAGACTAGACTACAGCAGGTAAGAGGAGGCAAACAGCAATGAGTACTGACCATCACATTCATCTCCATCTTCCTTCCTTCCTTCCTTCACCTTCCTTCCTTCCTTCCTTCCTTCCTTCCTTCCTTCCTTCCTTCCTCCATGTACGCCCACTACTTCCTTAGGTCTCCCTCTGCAGCGTGTAGTCGTGCACCCGCGCTGCCTCTTATCTTTGCCCTCCAGACCTACATCGGCTTCCCTTTACTTTTAGAGGAGAATAAACAAACAAGACAGGAGGAGAGGAATATAAATAAAGCGGTCTGGGTGCCATCAGGGAAAGAGGGATGGAGGGGTGGAATGAGAAAAGAGAGGGGCATTGAGGAAGGGGATTAGTTCCAAGCCAGTGCTGGTGAAAAGACTGGAAATAAGCCTCAGGAGACAGAGAGAGAGAGATACAGGGTGAGATGGCACAGAGCAGAGGAGGAGAGAAGGAGGTATGGGACACCATCAGGGAAATGTTCTCTCTAAAACTCTCTCCTTCTTTCTTCCCACACTGTGGCCCCTGATTCAACTTTTTTCTTCTAAATATTTTTTCTTTTTACAAACCTCATTCCCCATTGCCTCTGTCTCTGTATCTCCACCCCCAAACGATGATTTTTCTCATTTTTCTCTTTATTCATAATCCTATTTCCCTCCCTTCAGCCATCTACTACTCTTATCTCTCCGCCGATTTCTTTTCTTATCTTTCTCTCTCTCTTTTCACCCCTCTCTGGCTGACGTTACTTTTATTGCAATTCTTCCCCGCCATCCGGAAGATAAAACACTCGTCCCCTTTTTCTCATAAATTGAAACGGGTAAAACAAATCATTGCAATCACACACTCTCACCTTTACTATGTACATTTATAGGGAGACATCGATTGCATTTTCATCCTATGGGCCTGTCCTTAGTGTGAGTGAGAGGGGGAAATGATTATAGATCTCTCCTCCGGACCCCAGTTAAAATCGACGACCCAATGTCTTATGTGTTTCATGCATACTCATTGTGGTTGGTTGGCACTCCCTATCCATTATCAAATCTATTCAATCAAAGCCAACATGCACAAGTTTTATGTCTGGCGGTTGGAGCTGGGGAAGGGGGAAACAATTAACAGTATTTCCCAGCTGATTAAATTCCCCTTTGATTTGTACTGGTTGAAAGAATCCATATGGTTTTATGTTTGGGGAATAAGTCAAAATGTCATTCTGATTGTGAATCTCCAGAACTGTCCCAACCTGTTAGGAGTTCCTAGCAGGTGGTAAATATACAATAACATACTGTGTGTTCACACATCCAACCTTACCTGGAACTGTATTACCTTTTGGTTATAGATGCATAATCCTTAAAACAAGGCTAAACTTTATAGGATTATGTTTAAAGATCCCCTGTAGACATGTGGAAAGGCAGTGTTTCTTAAAGTTTTTAACAGAGCATACCACCTATGCACCAGTAAATGGTGAGCTCTCCAAGTACCGCCATTATGACTGATGTTAAAATACAGCAGTGCAGGCCAACCCCATTCAGCTACGGACAGTTCACACTGCAGGTTTATTCCTAATTCAGTCAGGACCACTTTTGTCAAAATAACTTTTATTTCAAAGCCGAATATCTAGCATTTTGCGCCCGGTTGGCTCTGTTCTGGGACCTCACTGCGCCTTCACGTGCCCTAACGTAGAAAAACCATTTTTTTGAGGGCGGGGAGCGAGCAACACCTCCCAGGGTACAGAACAGAGCAAGCCATCAGTGGCAATCAGAAAATGACAGGTTGCATGTAATTAGAATACAACATAAAAAGGAGGAGCTGGGGTGGAGGTGGGTTGCAAAATGCTTGTAGAGGGGAAGCACAACAGACGTAGGCCAGGCTAAAGGCAGCTAAAACTTTTTTACGGCGCCATGATGCTATTTGCCAATTGGATGCTTGAGGGGAATCACTGAGCTCGTCAGACTGCTGAGCTGTCAGCTGATGTGTGTTTACAACTAGCTTTGATCATATGATATAGCTGGAATTGAGAACCAAGCCTGACTTCGTGGCTTGCCTGAACTAACGCTATGCTTAATTTATAGTTGACTGTTGAATCCTGAATGAAACCGGTTCAAGAACCAGAGCTAATCTGGTCAAAAAGGGGTCCTCCTGTTCCACACTTCTCTTCCTAATAGTTCCTGTTTGGAGCCACAATTGCAGTGTTTTTTAACCATTCATTTTACCTACGCTAACTATCTTACTATCTTACTATCACATTGTAGCTCCCAACTAATCATGGATGTGTGTGTGCTATGTGCATGAGCATGACAACATAGCAGGCTGATATAAAAATATAAAATATTACAGTGCAAAACCTCATAGTATTATGTGTTTTTAAATTAATTCATTTCATTTATTTAGGAGGAGATTCCTCTGCGTACCACTAGAGGCAACTAGCGGGCTATAGTTACAGAATCAGTGTATTTAGGCATACATACAAATAGTCTGCTTAGAACAATGTGTGTCTGATATGTTTTTTTCTCAAAGAAAGTATAAATTTCACATTAAAATCCTTAAAAATGCCCCTACACCTACCTCAGTAAAATTTCCACAATCTTTCAGGGATGCATGATAATTATCGGGGCAGATAAATTATAAAATTATTATTATTATATAATGGAATTTATGTTATATAGTACTAAGATAATTATAGCCAAGAAATTATCGGTTGATTACTAGAACAAATAAATCAACATTTGAAGAGAAAAACAGATTTTTGAGTGGAGCTGGACTTAAAATAAATAACCACAATAAAGAGTGCTATCTGGGGCTCTCGGCAGAATATAATAATGTTGCCATGTGTAATGTGCTGTTTGCTGCTGTGTGCACCTGAAGGATACTTAAAGGTAACAAGATACACACACAATTCAAAGATAGTGGGAGTAGTGGGGAGTCAGTAGGAGACTACCGCTCAAATTTGCCCGTGGGTCCCCTTGCAAGTTGATTCAGCCATGCCTTGATACTGTTGGGTGCAAACTCTTGCTGAATTACTGTTGTCGAGGCACATTCTCAGAGTTTCTAACTCATAATCTGAGTTATGAATGATCTAAATCCCAGTCAAACACTCTGCACTGTTCCCTGGAGGGATGCTCTCATGTTTGATAAATGCAGGCCCTGATGTTTGCAATAAATATCCATACATTGTGTTTAGCTACATTTGTCTACATCCTGAAGAAGCTACTGTAGGTGTTAAAGTTTTTGTACTGTATTGTCATTGTAAACTGTTTCTGCCTGTTGTCTCTTTTATAGTTATGGCAGAGTCTATGCAACAGCAGACCCATATCACCATACGATTGGTCCTGCAGCCACATACAGTGTGGGCACTATGGTGAGTCTGTTTCCTGTTTCGTAGCTGCTGACTGTGTGAATAATGTGCCAGACTGTATGAACTGCGTCCGGTGCTTCAGCCTCACATGGTTGTCTTTGATAACATACTGTATGACGCAGCACCTGGACTGTGCATATAAACAGCTAAACTACTAACAATGAATGAATTCCTTAAATCAAATCATTTGCTGACATGCTTCAGAGATATATTCAACAAAAGAGCCTGTTTTTTACTCAACTTGTTGTTCCTTTGAGTTGTGTTTCCCTCTGAGAGAGCCATTTTAATGTTTAATGTGAATCTTTGCCACTTCAGTAAATGAAAAAGGGACATTGCCTTATTCTCAAACTCCCCATTCAATTTCATTGGCCTGAAGCTACTTGCTCGAAACCCAACAGAGACTGAGAATTCCTCCCCGCAGGAAACAGTCTCTTCAAATTTTGCAAGGGGAGATAGTTGAATGGTTAATGTTTGTTTTTAGCTAGCTTTGCAGCTAACATCAAAGATGAAAAAAATCTTTCCAAAGAAAGAAACTGAGCACCCCAGAAGATGGGGGAGAAAGAGAAAGTACAATTTGTTTTCTTTCGTTGGTGTGGGTAGGGACTTCCTCCAAAGATTAACGACCATCTAGAACATGCTTGGACGTGCTTTGGCAGATTAAAGTAGAAGGAGAGAAAGATAGCCCACAGAAGAAGGAACAGTAGGAGTAGGAGAGTTCTTGGTAGCAGACCGGCTGCAGCTGGAGCTGCTGCTTGGTGTAGTATCTTGGACTCCAGACAGATGAGGGTTGATGATGAGTACTGACGTGCTTGTGGTGATGGAAATCGAAAAGGCCTACCATCTCCTCCATGTGTCCCCCA